ATCTTTAATTTCATAATAAAAAATAATATTTTTTAAATAATATATTATATAATATATTAAATCAAAGATATAACAATTAACGTCTTAATTAAAATTCAAACTTTTAACTCTCATTTTTTTTAAATATAAAAAGGAAAAAAGAAAAAAAAAAAAAAAAGGGCAAAGAAGAAAACGATTAAAGGGAAAACACTTTATCCAAGCATCTGTTCTCTTCCTCAAGAATCTCAAACACAAAATCATGAAAGCTCATCAAAACACTAATGTAAACCTCACGAACTTTACTTTTATATATCCATTCAAAATACCCAAAAGCAACTCTAATATTCCTTGTAACACCATATGCATGGTATATATGTCATCGTAATCTCAGCGTCAATGAGCTGCTTTTTTTTTATCACCTACTTGTTTTCATCGACTACACAAGCAAATCCGTTATTATTGGTTTGGCCAAGCAAGCTGCTTATAGATCGAGCTTTAACCATTCCGAGCTTCGTCTTCTTCTTGGTCTTCTTCTCTTCCTCCACTGTATTTCCATTCTCATTATCATCATCTAACAATATAACCTCTTTATTATCTTGTAAGGATAAAGAGCTCGGTGATGGCTCGGGGTCATCCTTCTTGGCTGGTGCAGAAGTAGTACTGCTAGTGCTCAAGGACCTGCTTCTGACACTGGTCATGCTCCTCAAGCGACCCTTACCAAGATGATGCTCGCAAAGAGAGTAACCCACGAGGGTTTGCTGACAACACCGCCATCCCCTCCCATTAACGCGACTGCACCGCGATCCCTCCATAAGTGCACCACCTCGACCCTTCTTCTTTGCACCAGCAGTAGTAGTACTACTATCAGCTTCTTTGTTCTCTCCTTGTTCATTGTCCTTCTGTTGGCCACATTTCTTGTTCATCTTGGTCTTCATCTTCGTGTTCCCCTTCTTATCTTTCTCCATTATCATCTCATCCTCCACTCTCCTCTCAAAGCTCCCCCTTCTTTTCTTCAACGGAAACACCTTCTCTTCCTCGTACCATCTCTCCACAACTATATACATATACAAACAAAAAAGAACAAGAACAGCAGCATCTTCAAATGCCATCGAATGATCATATATATAGCTCACTTTTGATTTTATGTGTTTCTTAAAAGTTTTTTTTCGAATAAACCTTTACCTTGATGATGAGAAGAAACAGAACCAGAACCAGACCCAGACCCAGACCCAGTCCCGACTTCTGCACCCAGAATACTTTTCTTCCTAGATAACCAAATTTGCAACCACACAAACATAAATTCCACAGCCAAAGAAAATAAAAGAGGAAAAATAAATGAAAACCAAGTGCAAAATAGAGCATTGTAGATGGGGACCAGCTTGCACCACATGGGCATATATTAGTTAACCAAAAAAATAGAAGAAAAATTTAAAAAAAAAAAAAAAATTCAACTAGATTAGATAGGAAGGTATGGTGGCTAGCCAAAGCTGATATAAAAACATCCAAATAGTATTTCCACTTTCACTATTTTCAAAAAAAAATTCTTTGTTGGGTTAAAAATTAAAACCAAAAATATTTATGGGTCTCCCCCTTTTTTCACCTTTTTTAGTTTTTACTACAAGAATTCATGAAAGAAGAACAACATTGGATTTAACTTTATTGCCTTCTTTCTTACCTGGTATCATTACTCCTCCGCTCCAACTCCCCTCTCTCCTCCTCCTCCGCCTCCTCTACCACCGCCGCCGCTGCCGGTTTTCCTTGCTTCAACTCCTGCATCAACACCACAAACAAAAGAAACAAATACTTTCATGGGTGCAAAGTAATCATGAAGAAATCGAAAAAACATTTCCTATTGTCACATTGGACACAGGTGCACTATGATAACAAAAGGATAGAAAAGATAAAGAGTATATATGGACTTACCAAGCAATCTCGGTCCTTCTTGTTGGAGGAATCAGAAGCGGTTGTTGAGTCGCCGATCGGGGGATTAGGACGATCAGACGGGAGGGGATTTCCATGTGGGTTGTTGAGAGGAGGCAGTTGCACCACCGGCGACCGGTTGAGCTGGGGATCTGAAGGGAGACTGGATGAGAGAGAGAACGGAAGCTGCCTTTTCCTGATCCTCATCTCTACAACAAATACAGATTCTTAGATTTTCCCTACCCCAGAAATAGATTAGACAAGAGAAATAACAAGAGCCAAACAAGAAACCCACTTCGATTCTGATTCACTTGAAAAGAAAATCAAGACCCCAGATGAGGAAGTGATGTTATTTGGGTCAGATTTCAGCAAGAAAGGAGAGGAGGAGGGGGAGGAAAGGAAAGAAGAGTGCAAAACTTGGATGGAAAATACTACTACAAGCAAGACTAAGGGGAAGAAAAATTTTTCTTTGTTGTTGCTTTCTCTCACTAACTTTTATTTGTTGCACCAGGGAAAGGAGAGGAATGATAATGGGGAAGACACGTGTGAGGGGGTGGGGCACGTGTGGGAGACCGGGAGAGGAGGTTGCCGGTGGCCGATATACGGAGGTCGGAAGGTGCCAGGGTGGAATGTGTGGGAGGAGAATACAAATACAAAATAATGGGAGTGGGTAGTTTTAACGTTTATACTTTTTAGATGGGATGGGTGGGTCTCACCACCTTCACTCTCATAACAGCTACTCGAGGACTATGGGGATTCTCCCCTCGTTTCGGCGTCGTTTTGGGAGAGAGCTAATAACATATTCAATATGCCACATTATCTAATATATTGAAAAATAAAAGGAAATATTATCGGAATAATTATTTTATCTCATTTTTTTATATAATTTAATGTTATTATTAAAATGATTAATTTTTTTAATTTATATTAGATTTATGATATTAAATATATTCACTCATTTAATGATATATAAAAATTATATAAAAAAATAAAATAAAATAATTATCTTAATAGCACCATCCAAAAATAAAATATAAGACTAAGCATATTAGGTTTAGTGACCTTTACCTATAAACTTTGTAGCTAGCCACAACATATAATATACGGGTTTAATTATCTCAAAGGCAAGTTTAACGGTGTTTTTCTGCTAGGGTTTAGGGTTAGGTTTATTATATTATACAATATAGTCATTAAATTAGGTTCTTAAATATAGGATGAAATTTCTTTAACTTACTCATAATTTAGTACAATTTAAATTACAAAAATAACATTAACCTCTAAAAAAATACTCCGACTTCAAGGGTATAACAAAAATTGTGAGAATAAAGTAAAAAGGCTGAAAAAGTTCGATTTTTGGGCTTTTATCTTTCTTTGTCAAAAAAAAAAAAAAAAACGAGGTCAAAGGTGGCAACGTCAGCATGTCCACGACGTCGTTTGGGCATTCGGTCTTAAAATCCTGAACGATTTCTGTTCGGTTTAAATTCCAATGGCCACGACTCACGACTCACAACTCACAACTCACAACTCACAACGACACTACGAACACCGTCATGGCCACGACGTTGGCGCAACACGCTGGCAAGTTCTTTCTCCTCGCCGGAGCAGGTAATCTTTCACTGATTTCCTCAGTTTTGGGGCCGCCGTCTGGGCTCTTTTGATTTTTTTTTGTGTCCTGATTTTCTACAGGATACACTACCACGTTCCTGATCAACAACGGTAAACTATCGGTTGTGCTTGGCGAATTGCGGGTACCCTATTAAATTCTGTTTCTTTTCGCCTTTTCGTAAACTGGGTTGTTATCCGGCTGTCACTTTATGGAGAATGCTTGATGGGTTTGGGTCTTTTGTTTGATGAAATTGAAAAAAAAAATTTGAGATGATGTTAGGTTCTGTTGATGTTTTCTGTTAAAAATTTAATTTTTATTTTTTTGGTGTTATTTGACAGTCATCTGTCATGGGAATAGAAAAACGTGGGGAGCAATCAGATGATTACTCTGATCCTGTTGTTGCTCAGGTATGTATTCTGAGAATACAGTCTAACTAAACAGTAAACACTAAGTTTATAGCTCTTGCTTTTGTTTAAGATGCTATATTTCTGTTTCATATTCTATTTGGTTATGGTTCTTGTTGTTTTGAAATCCAATATAGGTGCGTCGCTTGGCAATGGAGGTTAGGCAGTTGGCCTCAGCGCGGCAGATAACTGTTTTCAACAGGGATTCTGAAGGTGTCTCCAATGATACTTACAAAATAGTTCTTTGAAAATGATCTTTGTACTTTATTTGGAAATTAAGATAAAGATTTGTGGTTTCTAGTGGGTTGTGTCTTTTTTATGTCAATTTTTTGACAAGTTTGGCTTTCCCTTTTCTTTTTGTTTTCGTTTAATAGTTCAGCATAAGATAAAGCATTTCCTATTTGCTATACCTTTTTCTTTATTTAACCTTTTCTTTTCGGAGGCTTGTGCAGTTAAGTTAACGTCTCTCTTAGCCCCAGCTGCTGCCTTGGGAGCATTTGGTTATGGTTACATGTGGTGGAAAGTATGTTAATTAAGTATTGGCATCTATCAATTTTTTTGATTTTGTTTCTTTCTGACATTGAGTTTTACGTCTTAAATTTCATTTTTTAGGACTTGTTATATTTTCTATTGAATAAAATCTCCTTCCTCCAATGTTAACTTGTATTTTCATTGTTAATTCTGATTTTGAACTTTCTATTCAATTCTTTTTAATAATCCATTTTAGATCCTTGAAAAGATTGATACTTCTAACATTTACTATTCCTTATTGATGGGTAGCTACTGTATGTATTTTCACCACAAGAAAATCTAAGGAGTTCTGTTGAGTAGAGACTTCAATTTTTCTCTTTT